AAATACTGAGCAGCAAAGCCAGGGTTTTTGGTTGTGAATCCACACTCTGAACCTCTATGATACATTGCTTGACTTTGAAGCTCTATTCTGGGTAACATCTGGGCAACCCTGAGCAGAATACTATGCCTCAGTTTCCTCATTTACAAAATGGAGATGATCACAGCATTCACTTGACAGGATTCCATGAGGACCTCATGAGCTAATGGGAATATAGCACTTAAGGGTGCTTACTACTTAATAAATGTTGATTAATTTTAGCCATTATTTTATATGACTTCCATCTTTTATGCTGTCAAGGGATGAAAGAGAATGCTGAAGTTTGATTCCTCATACATTAATGCCACCCATGCTATTTCATGTTTGATAATTGCTACTTGCCTGAAGAACCCCTAGCAGTGGGTTCTTTGACTCTAAATTCTTTTTCTTTTTTAAATCCATAACCAAAGAAACTTGTAAATAGATGGGGTTACATATCATTGAGTAGGTTCTGCTTCAGGGAAGTTTAAGCTAACCAGAAAACAAACAGACCTATGACATACTGAAATCAATCGGGAATTTAATTCAGCCTATATTTTTAATATGTATGTGTGTGTATACACGCACATGAGTGTGCACAAGTATGCATGTATTTATGCTGGGAATCAAACCCAAGGCCTTTCACATGCTAAACACACACTAGCACACAGTTACCCTCCTGACTTTGGACTTTTAAAATGATACTCAGGATAGTGAAGGGAAAAAAGCCATTGTGTTGAGTGCTTACAAGGAATAAATCAGCCGTAAGAAATATTGGGTTCACTGGCTAGCTCAGTGTGTGGACTGGATCAATGGCTTGACCTTTGGAGATTGAGAGCTTCAAATTTATTTGCTCTTTAAATATACTCACAATAAAAATGCCACAAGACATATACTGTGAAGATTAATGTCAGTAAAGCACCATAAGACATGTGTAAGAGATAAAAAGGAATTCCAAATACCATAAGTATCAATTAATTAAAATTTAATGCTACTTTAAAAAATCACATGGCTACCTGGAATGGATTCAAATGACACACTAACATTACTTTTAATTTATATTTTGAAGTTTAAAAATTAATAAATCCTAGAAAAAGCACTGGAAAAATACATGAAACAAGATCATTTGATATTTATTATTATTATTATTGTTGTTATTATTATTGCTTTGGAAAGAATCTGTATGACCAGGAAATCTCTATGACTTTCAGGCAAATTCTAGCTTGTACAGTCAAAATAGTTCTTATTAATTCTGATAACCATTGGTACTATTTTATAGAAATAAAGAGACAGGAAAATAAACTCAGAACTGCATTACCTGAAATTCTTGTGTACCATTTGTTTGTCCCCAGATCTCTTCTGTGACATTTGGGCTTTGCCCTTATTGTTATTCAAATAATGTGTCATCTTGATGTCATATTCGTATAGCTACTAGTTAAAATGAAAATGTGGAAAGGGAAAAAATACAGGGCTGTAAACAGTGCCTACTCAGAGATTCTACTGTAAAGAATTGACATAGCAATATGCCAACAAATTGTAAAAATTCTATATAGTCTGCCAAAGAGTTAAGTTTAATTATGATTCCATCATAAATTATCTTAAATAGATCACATTTCCCATCATGTGTGAAGTAGGCTGTATCAACAAGTATATTCATATATATATATATATATATATATATCCCCATTATATGTGTGTGCATTTAAAAATCATATGTAGGATCTTTAATAAGGTCTATTCATGAGAATTACAAAAATATGTATTTATGTCCAATATAACAATCTGGGGGAAGAAAAGGCAATATTGCTTGTTTTAGGTATGAGTTTCCATTATATTTGCTCTAATTTCTTTGGTGAATGGATACAAATCTAAATGTGGAAAAGCAAATTTCATCCTTGGGAACAGAGGATGCTAGAAGTGCATTGTCTAGGAATTTGTAACCTTGGTGGCTGTGAGTGGATTCCTCTATCTGGAAGGCTTAGAGGCACACAGTTAGCCTGTTCTCTCAGGTGAGACACTCTCTGATCCAAGGAAGGCCTGGAACCTTTCAGAGAGCTTAGATTATCCAGCCCCAGAATGGGAGATGTCACCCCACCAAGGCTGTGCTGCTCAAATACTTATGAATGGATCTTTCTCCTTTCTGTGCACTGACATGCTGTCCAGTCCACACGAGGCAGGGGGGAAGGTTGTAGGCTGGAGGAGTGGCCAGGAAAGAGAGATGTATTCTATCTTACTGTATAACTCAATTTGTTTCCTTCCTGTTATGAATTCTGTTCCTTGAGTGTAAGCTTAGGGTTCATTTACTGAGACTTAAAGCATGATACTATGATGATAGGTATTTGATTAATATAATTGCCTCTGCTGTATAATGTTCACTTAGTTCCCATGTTTAGTTAATACCAGAAGGTCTAGCTTTTGTCTTTTATGTTGGAGCCTTAGACCAGAAGAGGACTTGCATGTCTCTCCCTGGGAAAAGATGCGTCTCACTGTCTCCCACTGACTGCAGACACAGAGCCCTTTGTAGGCTACACTGCCACAAGGAGCTGGAATTAGATGCCCTGTTCCTTTTTGTGTGCAGGTCCTGGGCCTTGAACTCAGGGCCTGGGCGCTGTCCCTGAACTTTTTGGCTCAAGGTTAGCACTCTACCACGAGCCACAGCACCACTCCTGGCCTTTACTGAGTAGTTTATTGGAGAAAAAGAGTCTCATGGACTTTCCTGCCTGGGCTGGCTTTGAACCTCAATCCTAAGATTTTAGCTCCTGAGTAGCTAGGATTATAGGCATGAGTCACTGGCCCTGTCTTCCTATTCTTGTTAACATGAGTCATTTTATCCTAAGATAGTTAGAAGACTACTAGAAAATAAATATTCAGATAATAATATTCAAGTAATCAATATTTAAAGAAAAATCAAAGTATCACAATGTCACCATAAGACCTATTGATTAAAGCCAATCACAGCAACATTACCAGTCTGAAACAGCTGGGAAGTAATAATAAAATCCAAGTATTTTTCTTAAAACAGCTTACTTTTCTTTGATTTTTTTTTCAAACACAAGAGAAAACTCTTTTTATTTCTTGGTTGTTATCTGTCATATTTCTGATGGCTTAGACTTTATACCTTCCCTTAATAATTATCTGAAAATGATTTTCTAGGCACCAAAAAGTACTTTGGGGATAGGGGCAAGTGACAGAGTAATGTGGATAAGAATGTTTTCTCAAGACACCTTTAGGACATCAAGATGCTTTAAAAATTATGTCACTGTATTCTTCAGAGAAAAATACATTCTAGAAGTTTAAGACACATTTCATATGCTCTAACTATAGAATTATCACATAATTGCCCATTCTCTCTTTACTGTCTGGATGACTAGTTTTCTTAGTAAAGGAAACACACGAATTATCCAATTTTAAATAATCTCGAGGATGAACAGAAACTCCACACAGCGGGTTTGAGACCTAGGTCTTTGGATTAGGAAAGAAACAAGAGATATTTTGCTGATGGCTTCATAAAAATGCTGAATCACTGTTACCCTCTGAGAGACAACATTTAAGGTGCCATAACAATGTGTAACAACAAAACATAAAACTGCACATATTAACCGTGTATGCCCTTGATATCTCCTTTAAACTTGGTGAAGAAGGCATGAAAATATCACATTATTTTCTCTTGCTGAGGAAATTGCTTACTTCCTTGCAAAAATAAAGAATACTCTGTCTTCCAAAGAGTACATTCAACAGTTTCAAAGTTGTTTGCAGGTTAAGGCTTTCTATACATTTTCATAATTGTCTCAAAGCTGATGGAAGGAAGGATAGGAGGAAGGAAGGAAGGAAAGGAGGAAGGAAGGAAGGAAAGAGCAAAACAGTAACTAGCGATACAAGGTTTGATTTTTGTTTGATTTTTTAGCCGATACTAGGTAATTTTCAAATCCATCTTAAAATTTTTGTTTCTATTTCCCTCTGTGATCTGCAGTGTTCTAAATTAGAGAAAGTCAATCTTCGATTCTGGTCAAGATTTATGAAGCAAAAAGAGGTTCATTTTACTATGTGGAAAATGATTCACCATGGACAAGGGCACAGTGTTTGGTTCAGAGACAAAAGAGGCTATGAGCCTCTTTCATTTCACCAAAGCGAAATGAAAGCACAGTTAAAAGCGCTTCTACCCATTTCTCCACTCACTCCTCACATCCACTGTATCAGGGATAAACTGCTCTTGTCTCCCTTTTACACAGGAGTTAACTGAGAGCAGAGAATTCAAGGACCACACCCCAGTTGATTCACAGAGTCTCCAATGGGTAGAATCATGCTCTTAGACACTTTGAATTTGAAGACTGGGGTTGTGTCATACTGGTAGAGGAGAAAAGATGGGCCAGATGCAGGGGTCATGACCATTGCCTTTCTCAATAAGGTTAACATCCTTGTGAATTTCAGAACTTGGTCCAGAACACTCCAGGATGAGCAGTGAGCGGCAGGATTTCTAAGGGCAAGGGCCTCATTATTAACAGTCCAGTCAAACTGCAGGACTAGAATCCGTCAAGTCTATTCAATTCCTATGTTCCCTTAACACTGAAAAGAACTTGCTTCTGTGTTCACAAGGTTTAAATGGGTTCCCTCTCTATAAATAACTTTCACTAGTGAAAGAAATCAAACACACATTAGCTGTGACCATGACCAGAATAAACTAGGGTCCATTTTCTTCATCACAATGAATATCAAATAGAGCATCTTCCCTGCATTGCCATTCTTCAAGAATTAAAAAGATCTGGTTGTATCACACATGGAATGTATTGAAATATAACATAGCCACTACTTGAAATGGAAAAGCTTCAGGGTTTTTGACTAAGGTATCTTTAGATATCTAAGCTCATCTGATCATTTTGCATTTCAAAGACAGATGGAGTATGTTATGAGCAAATAAGTCTGCTGTCATTCACTAGAATAATTCTGTGACATTAATGCTTTCCAAGTTATAAAGGAAAAGAGCTCACCTTTTCTCCATTCATGCCTGGAAGTCCAGGGGTTCCAATGGAGCCCTAAGGAAACACATGGTATAAAGTTGATATCATCACAGAACATTTCAATCCTAAGTTTTTACACTTTGTTAGTTATGTCAGTTATAACTTTACCTGCTTTTTTTTTAATTATGAAAATACTGTACAGAGGGGTTACAATTACATGGACAAGGTAATGAGTCCATTTCTTATCAAGCATTGTTGCCTCCTTTGTTTCCCCTTCCCATCCCTTCCCGTCTCCATCCCCAGATCCCCTTCCCCCCCCCCCCGCCAAAGTTGTAAAGTTCATTTTTGACATAAGACATCTTGTACATCTCATTGTTGCAATAGGTCCACCTGTATCCCTATTTAAACAATTTGTTTTTTCCCTTTCCCTCCACAAATTATACCAACATAAAATACAGTGAAAGCAGGGTTATACCGTGGGGGAGGGACATACAAAGCAACAAAGAAATCATCATATATATGTTAGAAACAATTGCATGAAGGAAAAAACATTTGAATACTTATCTTGGGGTTCATTTCATCTAACATCAACTTACCTGACCTTTTCTGCTTGACTCAGACATATACTAGTTATTGCATATAAGGGAAACCATGAGACCTATGTTTCTTTGGGCCTGGCTTACTTCACTTAATATAATTTTTTCCAAGTCTTTCTATTTCCTAACAAATGGGGCCTTCTTAACGCATGTCTGGGAGATTCTACTTTTCACATTTTCTCCATTGTGTTCACAGGCATACTGTAGGTAGATACAACTTTCTCCAAGTACAGAGTCAAAATTTAACCTTGTTTCCAAATATCCACTTCATCCTCATATGATTTTTAAAGAATTTCGTATCATACACTGTGATTCATATCAGAAGGCCTCATGCTCTAAATTTTATTGTCAAGAAGTGAACAACCTTAGCTCTCCCTGGAAAAAAGACTATCAGTAGTAGTAACTCTTGAATCTCACAAATTTAAGCAAACAAATGATAATTAAAACAACAGCTGTTTATTACACAAGCAAATGAGGGACCTCCCCAACTCAAGTTCATTGTATGTGACACACTTTCTTTCTGGACTGATGGGGAGTGTGTTTGAGTCATGTGAGTGAAAATATGTCTTCCGGGACAGACTCAACAGCAGCACCACCACTTCCGGGTCAATTTTCCTTTAAAAATGGATGGTGTGTATTCACATAAACATGGGCACACACATGGACTGTGGGGAGTAGCAATGGCTGAACATGGAAGAGGTGACAGCTGAGAAGGAAACAGCTAATTGTTAACCAGCCGTGGGTGGTTCAGCCTATCATCTTAGCTACTCGGGAGGCTGAGATCAGGCGGTTAACAGTTCCAGGCTGATCCTGGCAGAAAAGTTTGTGTGACTCCATCTCCACAGCTGGACGTAGTAGCTGATCACCATAGCAACTACAGGAAGCTTCAATAGCACCTGGATTGCAGTTCAGGTACATTCACTGGCAGAAAGTAAGAACTTATCTAAATCAATAACCAGCAAAACAAAAAGAGATGGAGGCATGTCTCAGCCATAATGTGTCAGCCTAGCAACAGTGAGGCTCTGAATTTAACATCTATCTGTCTGTCTGTCTGTCTGTCTATCTATTTATCTGACTGTCTATTTTAAAGTTTGGAAGTAGAGCTGCGGCTCAAGTGATAGAGTGCCAGCCCTGAGCCAAAAACCTAAGCAAGAGTGACAGTCCCTGAGTTCAAGCCCCACTACTGGTGCACACAAAAACCTGCTAGTTATTATCTGAGCAAATGCATGTCATTAAGTGGATACAGAAACATTAGCAAATAACGATGCCTTTCTCCTCCACCCCCCCATTATCTCTCCCTTTTTGACTTCGGAGGCAACATTTTTAAAGTATCAGACACTTGTTCTTTGTCTAGCAAATGTATTTTTTTCTTAGTTGCACCTAAAATTTCTTTCATAATAACTGAGAATTAAAAATAGTAATGACAAACCCCAAACTATACAGCACTCTATTAAAAATAGTAATTACATGTAAGCCAACGGAGATTGCAAGCTCCTTGGTGTGTTGGAGACGCTATAGAGTGGGTCATTAACGTATTTCCCCAAGTTTGAAGTGGTAATTTTATCCTGGTGCAATGTGGATTAGGGTAGCTTTACAATTTCACACTATGTTTAATAGAGACATTATTGCGAGGGACAAAGTGTTCCTACACTCAAGTTGTCTCACATCTCATTGGCTTTAACTCCATTTGTAGGATTATGTTTCAACAGATGCCACATGCCTAGGCTCTATCTTTGATGGATTCCAAAGATAAAGAATAATCACTTTGCCACCTGTTAGAAGGCAATTGTTTTAATTTTCTGTGGGTTAAATATCCTCCTTCTCTCCCTCCAACAAGATGGCAGGTTAGCCAGTGATATTCTGTTGGCAAAGAGCCATCTACCTGCTATATAATTATATATAGTAGCTATATTATATATTACTATATATTACAAATAGAAAATGTATCCTTAGTGCTGGTCAGTTTTGTGACCATTTGGCAATTACTTGTTTGGCTAAGGGCAGCAATTATTTCGCAATGTCCCTGATCCTTCACATTTTTAGTTCAGTCACAATATTTTATTAGTATTTGGTTTAAAATTTTAATGCTTTAAGCATTGGGTAGTTTAAAAGGAGTCTTCTCTGGGTTTACTGCATATTTCATAATAGATTAGAAATGTAATGGTGCATTGTATTGAGTGTATTTTTAGATACCAAGAATGGACAGCCAGACCAATGGCTTCGGCATGCCTTATAGTCACTAATTCTACCCCACTCTTCCACTTACCATCGGGCAATGGAGACATAATTACTTTCTCAATATTGTTTTATACTATACCTTTTGTCCTGGAGGCCCCAGGGGACCCTAAAGACAAAAACAAAAATTCAGTTAGCATAATACTATTGGATGACGGGTCACAACTGCTCTATTTGCTATACAGAAATATGCTAAACCTGTTGAAAGTACAAAATAGGTCTGCTTTCCTATTTACTTCCTTTTTAAAAGACCTTTAAACATATATAGTACGATTTCATTTTTCACTTAAACAAAAAGAATGTTTGCCATCCCAGTGCATCTGTTTCTGGAACTAACTGGCAACTCTACCTCATGAATCTCATTTGGTGGGCTAGAGGTAATGTTTCCAGAAGCAGTTAAAACAATGCAAACCTCGTGTTGGGGATTCATGCCTGTCACCTTAGCTACTCAGAAGGTTGAGATCTGAGGATTGAGCTTTGAAGCCAGCCCAGGCAGACAAGTGTTATCTCTAATAGAGAGGAGGTAATGAAGAGGCAGATTCTTTTTTTTTTAGGTCTGGTCATGGGGCCTGAGCTCTTCAGCTCAAGGCTAGCACTCTACCACTTGAGCCACAGCGCCACTTCCAGCTTTTTTCTTTTTGCTTATGTGGTACTGAGGAATCGAACCCAGGGCCTCAGGCATGCAAGGCAAGCACTGTACCACTGAGCCACCTTCCCAGCCCCCAAGAGGCAGATTCTTATCCCCAATTAACTGGCAAAAAGTTGGAAGTGGAACTGTGGCTCAAGTGGTAGAGTACCTGCTTTGAACAGAAAAAGAAATCAAGAGCAAGAAGCCCTGAGTTCAAGCCCCACTACTGGCAAACACAAAAACATGCTAGTTATTAGCTGAGCAAATACATGTCATTAAATGGATACAGAAACTTTAGCAAATAACGATGCCTTTCTCCCTCTCCCCCCCCCCCCACATTATCTCTCCCTTTTTGGCTTTGGAGGGAACATTTTTAAGTATCACATACTTGTTCTTTGTCTAGCAAATGTATTTTTTTCTTAGTTGCACCTTAAATTTCTTTCATAATAACTGGGAATTAAAAGTAGTAATAACAAACCCCAAACTATACAGCACTCTATTAAAAATAGTAATTACATGTAAACCAACGGAGATGGCAAGTTCCTCGGTGTGCTGGAGACTCTATTAACATATTTCCCCAAGTTTGAAGGGGTAATTTTAGCCTGCTGCAATGGGGATTAGGGTAGCTTTACAATTTCACACACGTGCACACACATACACAAAACCAAACAACAACAACAAACAATCCCACAAAAATGTAACACAGTTTCACAGGAAATAGTCAGGACCACATTTAGTTTCTACATCGACAAAACTTCAGTTAAGCAGATGTACAAAGGGAATTACTGAAAAGCATGACAAAAAGGCAGGTTTTGTTCTATGCTTCCTCTTAGGAGATGTGGTCCATTGACGTACACAAAAGCATGTTTATAAACAAGAGGAAGCCAAAGCCAAGTATGGCACCTCATGCGCTTGAGGAGGAAGGCTGCTCATGCCCAGCTGTGACCTGGCGGTGGGGAACCGAACACTGCATTTCAGGAGATGAATGAGAATATTTACATAGAAAATGCAAATGTGACAGTTTTGAAATGAAGCAGTTTTCAACCACAAAGTGAGTGTTAGGATTCCGTTGGCTTGATTCAAGCAATGCCTAGCTTTAGGACAACAGAAAGGAACACAGATATCTAACTGTATTTCCAACTCTTTGTGTCTATTTTAAAAATATTTCACTTCTTTCAAAAGTATGTTTTGTTTTGGTATGTGTTAGTGAAGTTATAGATGTTACCACTTCGTAGAAAAGCTCTTTGGTCCTTAACCCTTAACTAATAGCTAGTTGGTTTTCCATTGCGTATTGTCCCAATTCATCAGCATCTTACATTCACCACTCTATCATTATATAAAGCATTAGCATAGCCTGGTGCCAGTGTCTCACGCCTATAATTCTAGCTACTCAGGAGGCTGAAATCTGAGGATCATCGTTTGTAGGCAGCCTGGAGGGGAAGTTCATGAGACTTTTATCCCCCATTAACCACCAAAAAGCTGAAGAGTGGAGCTGTGACTCAAGTGGTATAGAGCTACGACACAAACAAACAAAAATGAAACACTAAAGTGACCATTAGTGGAAACTGGCCACTCATCACTTTTAAATTTTTTTAAATTGAAAATACACACCGTTGAGGAACATGTGGAGAATTTGTTCCCAGCCGTTTTATAATAATCCTCCTAAGACAACTAGCTTCCTTCTGCAATCAGCTTTTCATGATTGAAAGCACACAGTACAATACAACCTTTATACGCTCCTATTTGATTCATTCTAGCGACCAATCAACATTTTTTTGGGGGGGGGGTGTCTGTTATCTGCATAACTGTGGTTGGACATTTCCCTACCCGTCGTACTTTCTCTCTTTAAAATTCTGGTTTCTTCTGGTTTCGATTTTGCAGAGAACATAGGGATTATCAGGTGCAGATTCCCTCGACATCCTCTCTCTCATTAACCCAAGCCCACGTGGACCCCTTCCCTCCATGAGAGGAAGAAGAGTCTCTGCTCTTATCCAAGGCCAGTTCATCCGGTATTCTGGAATCCATCCTTGCCTCTGTCCCCAGGGATGCTTTCCAATCAATTATGGCTGGCATCCATATCAGAGCCTTCCCTTTTCCACGGCTACTTCCCCTCAGTATGTAAACATGTTTAATCATTTCCTCACTTGGGCAAATTGTTTGGAAAGTAAATGTTAATGCAAGCGAGGGCATAACCCGAGAGGGTGTGCTGATAGGAGATCTGAGAATGAAGACTCCAGTTTGATCATTGGCTCTGATTCCATTTTCTCCAGTGTCCCTGGAGCATTTCTCCTCGTTAACATGTTGATGTTAGAAAGGAAACCGCATAACAAGAGGTACATTAATTCAATGTTTAGACTGAGCACGCATATGCTCAATCCACCATGTTTCTTTCCCACCATCAACCTAACTTTGCCACTTGAAAAAAAAATATTATACACTAAAATTGGGTATTGATGTGTAAATGCTGGAAGGGAAGATGTCAACTGAAAAATAAAAGCAAATTTTACATCAAATATTTTGGCTGGAAAGTAAAGTAGCTGGTGTTTGCTAACTTGGTCTCTGTTGTATGATCTTATCAAATCAAGATTAGAAAGACTAATCACAAATTAGAAATCCACTCAATCACATGATAGGCATGCTTTAATGTGGTACTTAGGAATGTTGAAAAACTATAAATACTTCTTCATTTTTATAAAACTCATGTTGTGTTTTGAACACTCCCCAAATTAAAGATTTAAGATGAATTTTAAGTTGTGACTATGTGTCTTATAGTTTATTCATCATTCTGCTATCAAAAATAGATTCTCAGCTACCAGAAAGGAACTTAAAAACCTATCATTGGTAGGAAAACTGATCAGGCAGCTAAGAGGGAATTGGGTTTTTGTGGATTTCAATACAAGGCACAGACATCCATTTGAATAAGTACACAATACACATATGCATACAGAGACACACAAGATTTTTCTTTTGTATATGAGTCTAAAGCATCCCTATCCTTAAATTTTAATAACACACGTCTGTATCTGTGACACTGTGGCAGTTAAATTTAATGGGAAAATATGACAGAATGACTCATTAATATATCTCTTCTTAAACTTTTTAGCCTACAAATGGCTTGGATGCAGGATGTTATAATTTCATTATTCCCCAGAGAAACTAACGCTTCTTCTTATTCCTCAGATTAAGGTTCTGGTACTTCAAGAACTCAAATTAGTTTCATTATTAATATTGCCATGATTCAGTAAGGTTGGATCAGTTTTCATGGCAGTTAGAATTCTTTTGGTCCATTTTTATTAATCAGTGAGGCATATCTCTCTTTCTTGGCAGGCATACACATTTTAAATTTACATATACTTTGCATACAACCAAGATGGAAATGATCTAATTTGTAAAAATTTCTTTTTCTTTTCTTTTCTTTTGTTTTTTGGGTCTGGTGGTGGGGCCTGAACTCTGGGCCTGGGCGCTGTCCCTAAGCTCTTCAGCTCAAGGCTAGTGCTCTACCACTTGAGCCACAGCACCACTTCCGGCTTTTTTCTTTTTGCTTGTGTGGTGCTGAGGAATCAAACCCAGGGCCTCATGCATGCAAGGCAAGCGCTCTACCACTGAGCCACCTTCCCAAAGAGAAGAGGTTGATCAATGCACAGGTTTTAAGATTTATTGGCTTATCACTGCCATCAGCCACAGTTTTACTGTGGTTATTTTTGTGTAAATATTTTTGTTATTATAAAGGAGATCCACAGAAGGGTTATGGTTCTTTCAGTCAGTCAAAGAATAAATTTCTTTTTGGACAATGTCACCCCTTCCCTCACTCTTTCCCAGTTTTTTTTTTAATGATTTCTTTCTGTTTATCTCAATATTAGAAACTGCAATATGAAGACTCTCAATATAGGAAGCTATATATTTCCTTCAGTTGAACTTCAGAAATGTCACATATATACTTATATATACATGTATACATATATGATATTCATATATGTACATATATACTATATACAGAGTATATATAGTATATACATATATACTATATCTTTACATATATCTGTACATATATAGTATATACTACATATACTATATATATGTACTACATATATATGCTATATACATATATAGTATATACATATATACTATATGTACTATATATATGTACACATATACTATATATATATATATATATATATATATATATAGCCAGAGACTGGGACTCAAACTCAGTATCTGATGCTTTGGCTCACTGGCTGACAATCTACCACCTGAGTCATGCCTCCAGACCCAGGGTTGAGTCTTTCTCTCTCTCTCTCTCAACTAGAATGAGTATGAAATATCCTCATCTTAATACAGGCTTGGATGAGACAAATGTATGATTCATTGAAGAATTTGCATAGTAGGGAAATGATAATAACCACTGAAGGATTTGAAGTGTGGAGTACAATATCACTAATATGCACTTAAATCTCGACATCAAACATGTCATGATCTGGAGA